TGTATATTAGGAAATCATCGATTTCGTGTGAACCTTTATCATGCTTGCAAAATATAAGTTAGAACAAACATACAAATTCGTGTTCTTGATACGTAAATGAACTTACTCAATTGCAAGTGATGTTGTTCTCCCATCTGAATCTCATCATGCCTTCCACATGGGCCTAAGTGTTTTACATATGTGGTTAGTGAGTTGGACTCTTCAATGTGCACCTCATTTAGACTTCATATCAGCCGATAATACAAGTATGCTTCTCAGCTAGCTTGAGGTTCGAATAAACCTATTAAAACAACATAATGCATTTTTAGGGGAACACTTACTTGAGGGATAAGTGTTTTAGAAGAGTTGAAACTTCATTGACCCTCGCATTGACTTCTATGGGGGCTTGTCATTCTTTGGGTGTTAGATTTGCAAGGTTTACTTTCTGGTGCCATCGTAGTATGTCAATGAGTTCACATTCTGACACGAAATTGGGTGAATGGCAGCACGCAGCATGGCAGGAGTGGATGATGTACCAGATATCATCTTGGAGAACATTCTAGCACGAACTACAGTGCTAGAAGTTATGACGCTGAGGTTGGTCTGCAAGAAATGGAAGAGGGTAATAGACAAACCCACGGGTAGGTGGATACTTGTTCCAGCTGATGATGATGATGCTCATGATGAGTAGGCCTAATGATGAGCATCCCTAAGCGGATGCTCATCATTAAGGGCTAAGGGCTAGCCAGCTGATTTTGTTTTTACCCGGTTATATATACCCGGTTGTATAGTTATATAGCCGGCTAGCCGTACGCTCACTCAAGAGTACCTTCTGGAACGAAACCAGGATTTGCGGATATTCGGCTGCTTCAGATAATATAAGTTCGTGACAGTGGTACACTGTATGTTCATACCATCAGCGTGTTCGACTGGAAATTCTGTTTGTCATCTTGTCACATTTGAAGGTTTCAGAGTTCCAGACGAAGTCTCCGCTCTGTGCCTGAGCCTCTGTTTCGACAGTTCTTTCTGTTGCCAGGTCCGTGACCAGATACTCTCTAACTTTGTGGTATGATTGGTAGTTATAACTCGATTGGTAGTCACAATTCCTGCTACCTTGCAAATGATTTTGAAGACGTTTAACTCCTGCAGCAGCAGCGACCCATTATCACTACTCACCTCCTATGAACATGAAGCATGTGGCAAGCAGTAAGTCTCCCAGTGGAATAATGTCACAACTGGACCTAGAAGATACCGATTCATCTCAACCGAACTTTGGTGGATCACAAACACTTTCTTGACCCGTTGCAATGCTACTTGACAACGAATGCACCCACGTTTAACAGTGCTGGCAACTGTAACTATTATCGCCCACTCCAATAGTGAAGATTGTAAGATTTGTTGTGGCTTGAGTGACTGCAATAATTGATCGATTCAATTCATGATCATGATGAGTTTGAATTGATCAATGATTGCAGTCACTTTTAAAATTGCTATTTTCTTAATGAAAGAAATTAATGACATCACACTTAACAAGGCTGAATGAAAAGTTCATCTCACCTACATGCTACAATACCCCTCGGGATTTCTCGGTGAGGATAGTGGGATGCTTTACGCAATTCACTCCGTGTCGCCTTGTTGCCGGAGACAAGCCAGCACGAAGTTTAGGCGGCACGATATTAGAGTATGTTCTTTATGCTGAACTTGATTCTTGGTCAGGTTTTTCTGATGTGTAAACTATTATAGATAGATTCCATGTGATTGAAATCAAAATGGAAATATTGAAAAAAATTTGAATTATGAAACACTCTGAGTAGAGATTTCAATAAGTTGCCAACGTACACAGCTTCTGAAAGATTGCTGTAGCAGAAGTACTTGAATACATCTTCTCATGATATCAACCAAGACATGGGGAAAATAAGAACATCTGATCTTTCCTGCCATTTAGTGTCCTTTGGAGTCACAACAGCACGTATTTATGTGCGCAATGATCTATAATTACAATTGCAGATTACTTCGTAAGCAATCACACGTTTTCGCTGAAACTATTCCTGGCAGAAACCATTGCTGAGTATATCGACTTGTCGACACCACGGCGCTATTCAATCTTCCCAAAGAATCTGAGTCCTGTAAATTTGTAGATTCAAAATCGTTTGGATCCAGTGGTCTCCGGTGGTCTAATGTATACACAATTCGGACTATTGATCTACGAACGCCTACAGTCAGTAGAGCGATATCAACATGAAATTGTAATTGTAATAGTTCCTGATTACTATTTATGTTTGTTGTGTACTGTATCTGAGTAGCAGAAACTGCATGTTACGGATGAGAGTCATAAGCTCTCCTCTCAAGTCTCAAGTTTTATTAGTTTACTACACGAGGACATATTTATTGTTCGAGTTATCGATTCATGCAACAAAGTCCTATACCAACCTTCTGGTGGCGGACGGATGTCCTTTCAGGGACGAGGGTCTGAATGCACTATCTCGATCCTCGGACCCTTTGATAATCAGCAGTATCTATTTTCCGTGGACATCATATCCAGTCAATCCTTCAAATGGTTCATTCATTTCATTCAGACCGATGCACATATCGTGAAAAGGAAAGTGACACTGCCCCAAATAAAACACTCAACCCTTAAACCCGCGTACTAAGCCCATCTCATGTACACCACCATCAGCACAAGATAGATCTATTACAAGGCCGATCTACGTCAAGCGAAGTTCTTAGAAATCACCTAAGTTTTATTCATTCGGATTTCAAAGGCTAAGCCCGCTTTGATGAAAATGATTGCAGAGGGTACTGTATGGTCCATGCCATGGCAACCAGGTCCACCGATTTTGTGTACACAAAAATCAGTCGTCCAAATGAACGGAAGGCTTGAGAAGATTTTAAAGATATGGCTTAGCAAGCCGAAATAAGCCATATTTCTATTTCGTCTAATATGAAACGGAGATCGACTGCATCTGAAATGAGTTTGGTGTGAAGGCAGGCGAGCGAGTCGCACCAGCACCGACTGGAATATCGTCTCAGTGTAGCCAGACGATCGGTTCCAGCTAACCGGTGGTCCTTGCTTAAGCTTGCCCTCAAACTTCTGCATCGCCGTTGGCTTCGAGAATTTTTCAATCTGTTTCTTGTATTGCCAAAGGTCGATTGTAGCGCTACGCAAGAGACGAGTCAGACGTGCATTGTCTACAAACCAGCATTAGTTTTCTTCTTGCGTGGCGAAATATATTGGTACCATTTTCAATAAATGGAACTTCGTGAATGTTCCCTCAATTTATCGTTGAATATAGTTCAGGTCAGGGCTGATACTGGAAGAAGAGGACTCGGCTGGTTAAAGAACGAGAGGAAACTCTGGTCCTTCTTTACTCCGCAGAGCGTCCTCTCTTCTGTCGTTGAATGTTCCAGAAATTAACTGTGAGCAGCATTGACACGTCCTGAACTACTTGACTCATAAACTAATTGAATTTTCGAACATCTCTTGAAGAGAATTTGCAACACTTCAGGCGGTGCTTACCGTCGATGACGAGGCGTTTTGCTTGCTGGAAAAGTGACACGAACTGAGCTTCTTCACATCTGTTCGGCAAGAAATGTAAAATTTAGGAGAGGCAGCAGGTCTTGATGATGACGCCATTCCGAAGGAGTTGGGAGCGGCCTCAACACGGGCCCAATCCTTCCACATGACCAAATTGCAGCTGCAGTTTTAGAGGCTTATTCTGGACAACGCAAATTGTAAATTTCTAAGTAGTCTAAAGTCACTCATATCTACTAAAGTGAGAATTCGCCATGGTAGTTAATAATTGAAGCCACAAGTTGGTCTCTGGTTGGTTAATTGTTTGGGCGGGAACTCTTGTACTACGAGGCAGTCTAATTCTCTTCATTCCCTCGTTTTAATATATTTGCAGGACCAGAGATGTTGCCTCTTTTTCTTTCTGGATCTTCATAAATGTTCTCTGTTCAAACGATTTTCCCGATCACCAATGAACAAGAAGGTACGTAATCTTGCCTAAGATTCAAAAGGCAATGAAGTCACCGCTCGCATCTCTTCAAAGATTCTATGCATAATGAAAAACTTCAAAGACTAATGGGTAGGAAAGTATAGCACGAATGCTACACTGTATGCATAGATTCTTGGAGCATGGTAGGAATGTTATGAGGATGTTACAGAAATTGAGCAAGGGGAGGGGAGGCCGTGACTTTATTAGCTTCTCGAGGCAAGGATATGTACTTGCAGAGGTAATCTCTTCAACACAGGAAGAGATCATCTTGGATCTCTTCTTCTAAGTAACTCACTTTGACCTGTTAAATTTTGAACATTCTCTCTTCTTTCAATTGGAGCATATAAAATATAGTCAACATAATGTTCGTCCCGACATATATATATACATCTATATTTATATTCTGTCGGTTGCAATGAGCATGATTCTCATGCACGCTGCTACCTCTCGGAGATCTGTAGTGATTCTCTGAGAAATAGCAGCGTTCAATAAGGTAGTGAAGACTTCTTCAAGGAATTTGAAACTTATGAGATCAAACCGTATAGAAGCTAACTTTAATAAATTGCTAGGTCCGTTTCGCTTGTCCAGTCCTTCGAGTCCACTACAACGCAAAATAAAAGATGATCAGCAATGATCGACTGAATCTAGCACTAGCGGCGGAAGGACGCAGTGCAACGTGGATTTTAGTTCTGCTCCAATGTTTGATGTTCTCACACAAGAAATGTCCTGTGGAGGTGCATGTGGCCGGGTACAAAAGGCTTCTGTATGTTTCTAAATGTTCTAAGCGTCCACAATCTACATCTAATATTCATCCAAACTCTCTTCAGTCTGTCTGAAGAGACTGACACACACACACTCTCTCTCTCTAGACTGATCACAGATCAGTCTGGCATTAGAGAAGAAGATTTCATACTTCTGATGAGCGAGCTGAAATTCCGCTCCGGTTCACGAATCCATCGACAGTTCATGGGTCGACTGTGACAGGAGGTACAATTGAGAGAGTCAGATTCGCGGGGCCGGATCTCTGAAGTCAAAGCTTGGCCTGTGTTATCAAGATTTTGGGGGCCTACAAGAAAGCTTCGGTGGGGGGCAGAGAACTGGGAATACAGAAGAGCAGTCGATGGCAAGGGCCGGAGAAAGTGACAAAAGGGCCATCAACTTACAAAGGGGCGAATTATCCTGTGAGCGACGATCGATCGGTGTGGATGATCCGACTTGGCGAACTGCATTCATGGTGCGGATCATCTCCCAGTTTCCGTTTCCCCAGTGCTGGCTCGAGGCTCATTTGCGAGCTGAGCTGAGCTGAGCTTCGGGATGCTGCGAACAGCTCGACTATGAGGAGCGACGGAAGCAGAGCATGTGGAAGATCAGAAGATTAGATGGTAGAAGATAGAAGGTGGCAGATAGAAAATTTAGTTCAGTGTGGGCTGAGGTCGAGAGTGCGAGGAAGCGAAGACCCTCCATGGCGGAACCGTCGAGAGAGACGAGGAGCGATGAGTCGGTTCAGGAGAGGACATGGCTTCCTGCTGTGGATCCGGTGTCGGGAATCGTGTGGACGACCGACGAACAAAGCTGTGCAGGCGTCGGTGAATGACAATGCGCGACAGGTGCAGAGCCTGCGCTTCTTCTCGCCATACAGAAGCAAGCACTGCTACACTCTGCCGGCGGTTTACAACTCGTCCTACATCCTGCGAGCCATGTTCCTGTACTCCAACTTCCAAGCTGCGTCCGACCAGCACAGCTTTGATGTGTCCATCGACTCGACCCTCGCCGACACCGTCAACATCACATCGGCCGAGGTCGACACTCCTCAAGTATTCGAGTACATCGACTTCGCCTCCTCCCCGTGGATGTACCGCCCATTATCTCCTCCCTGGAGCTTCAACCTCTTGCTCCCGGCATGTACGATGTCGTCCACGACGGGAAATACCTTAAGAATATAATCAGGTTGAATTGTGGCACCTCTGGCGCAGATCCGACTGCGAATCGATGAAGATATGTGCTTCTGTGCTTGTCACGAGTATTCTGTGCTTGCCTCGAGGAATCGAGCTGATCGTGTCTCGCTGCTCGACAGGTACCCTGAAGATCCGTATGATAGACTGTGTAACACCCCCGGCCAAAACGAGCAGAGTCATCCTCGTTCCGGATGACAACTTTGACAAGCAGCCGATGGTGGTGATGCAGACTGCGAGGCTAGATTCCACTGTGTGCTGGTTCACTCCCATTCCGCAGTACGATTTGCAGAGGACTGCTTATTACTACACGAATCTGTTTTCTGCCGAGATCCAGACCGTGAACGCTACCGATACAAGGCTTTTGAATGTGCAGTACAACAATTTTCCGTGGGGCCCCTGGCTTGTCGATGTCAGTAGCAGTACTTTTAATGAGAAACATATCTTGGTCAACACCGAGGTTGAAATTTACACCGGAGGTGTCAATTTCACTCTGTCCGCTCCGCCTAATGCGACTCTCGATCCTCTCCTCAACGCCGCCCAGATCTACGCTTCGAGGGCAGTCGTCGTTTTGAGAACCAATGACGTCGATGGTAGCTCGCATCTCCTGCCCGTAGCATCTCTGAAAGTGAGGAAAGCAGCGTCGACAGGTTTATGCAGCAGAATGAGGATTGGGGATATGAGATTCTGTCAGCATTCTTCATTCCACAATGTCGATTAGCGGTCCTGCAGAATATCACGAAATTGAGACTATTGGACTCCTCTCAGCTCGGTGTGCCAGGCTTTAGTCATGATTGGAGAGAAAGCCGAGCAAACATGAGTAGATAGGAGGAACCAGGAGGAGCTAGAGCCTCTTACGTGTATTGGAGAAATTCTGATGGATTGCTTTGTTCCTGGCAACACGTGCAGTGGCTGCGTTGGTTTCGGTAAAAGCTGCTCTCGGCTTGAATTCGTGGGCCGGTGATCCTTGCCTTCCAGTCCCCTACAGTTGGGTCACTTGCTACAACTCATCATCGCCCAGAGTGATCACAATGTGAGTTGCGCGAATTCCCCTTGGGCTTTGATCCATGCGACTATTTACTGGTGGTTGAGAGTTGCACAAGATGCCTGACTGGTCAGCACGGGCGAAAATCTGTCTTTTGACTAATGCAAGTTTGATGACCGCAGAGAACTATAGGACTTGAATCTTGTGGGGACCATGCCTGAGAGCCTCGGACAACTGACTGCGCTCTCGGATCTGTAAGTTACTACATCTCGTACTCCGGTTGCTGTTCCTTTGTTGTAGTCTGTGGCCTTCTCTGAGATACACTGGATCATCCATAAAACTCATGCGCCTGTGAGTCTCCTGCCGTCCTGAAACCGTGTGTCGATCGAAGGCCCCCTCTGCTTTTGACTCTAATCCTCGACAATACCATTTCCCTTGTGTCGGACAGAACTGACGGAAACGTCAATCTCTGCTCTGCAACGGAGAATTGTCCGGACCTTGCTGCTCCTGGACCGGGAGGCGACAGCAAGAGTAGTGGAGTCAGCGGGGCGGTCATCGGTGTCGCCGTCGGGGGCGTGGTCGTCGTTTCCCTCATCCTCGTTCTCTTGCTCTTCTTATACTGCAGGAGAAGCAGACGCCCGCCTTCCGTTCACGCGGCCATGAGTGAAACCGCCAGCAGCGATGTCAAGGGTAAAATTGCACCAGTGTTAATTGAACATTCCGAGTCTCTCGGTGAGTTTTCGATACTGATATGCCGGACGAAATCCTGGAGCATCATATCTTGCAGGAGAAAGGAGCAGTAGCACCATCAAGTCGCAGTGGGGCATCGACAGCTGGTCACGTGAACCAGGCCAGAGGTTTCTTTCTGGCTGAGGTGCAGCGTGCAACGAATGGATACGAGAAGAAAATCGGAGAGGGCGGATTCGGACTTGTCTATCACGGGAAACTTCCCGATGGATCCGAAGTAGCTGTGAAAGTAAACTCTGAAAAGTCCGGTCAAGGGACAACGGAGTTCATCAACGAGGTGAGGCCTTCCCAGCCTGCTGCTGTCTGATCAAGGTCAATCTGGATGGCTTTTTCACAGCCTTCGTGGTCAATCTGTAGATCGTAGGCCTGATGTTCAGGCATATGCTGCGTGGTGATTTCGCAGGTTTCTCTTCTCTCGAGAGTGCACCACAGGAACCTCGTGTCGCTGGTCGGTTACTGCGAAGAGAGTGGGCAGCAAAGTCTGGTCTATGAATACATGTCCAAAGGGACTCTGCGTGAGCATCTCTACGGCAAAGGTACGAGCGAAAACCAATTTGGATTCAGTTTTCGTTTAAACGAATCTCTTTGCGACCTTACTTACACCGACGAGGGCTGGATCCGATGTGTTCGCGTGCGTGCAGACATGAAGGGCACTCTAACCTGGACCGAACGACTCAACATCGCCATCGATGCCGCCAAAGGTACGAGGCTGCCACCAAATGAGGCTCAGATCAGAGTCAGCACGCAAAGATCCCGACGTGATTTCAGTCTCGGTTACCGATAGGTGGCATGCGAACCTCTGATGAGCAGGATGAATCATTTCCAGGCTTGGAGTCCCTTCACAACGACTAATGGACACGACAACCATATGCCTCGATCGCCAGAAAAATTCTCTGATCTTTTTGTTCCAACTCCCAGTCGCATGGATTATTTTGAAAACTCAAAACCAACCTACGAGCAGCAGCAGAAGCCGCAGGAGCGGCAGGAGGAAGTCGCCAGGAATGTAGCCGCCACCGATAGAGACTCGATGCTCGGTCAGACGATCTGTGCTTTTGACGTTCTTGCTTCGAGACGGATGCACACAATCACATCACCGCTTTCAAGGCCTCTATTATGGTTGGACTTGTAAAATCTGACCCTCTCGGGGCGTCATTCCCTCAACCCCACTCCAAATGCAATTGGAGCTCGTCTCTTTTCGCCCTTTTGAGGCGAGAATAAGTCCCGCATATCTGCTCACGCCCCGATCCCGCGACAGTCCATGTGAAGAACGATCACACAATCCCACAAAATTCCTTCCACTCTCTGGCTACGTGCAGCAGCTTGACATATTCCTCCATCGACATGCACCTCTTATTTTATTATTCTTCTCCTCCTCCTCGTCTCTCATGGCCCTACACTCAGTCCCTGCCTAGCTCTGCAACTCAGTCCAGTGCAGAGTTGCTCTCTCTCTCCCCCTCTCTCTCTGACCAGTGACCTCTCTCTCGCTCCAACTTTGGTCTAACTTCCCAGCGCAGCTCGAGCAAGGAGGAGGCGGGGGGCTGGCTTGGCATTAGTATCAATCGATCAATCAATCAATCCTTCAACTTGACCGCCAGCGATCCAGCTATGGTCTAGCTTCGCATCGCAGCTCGAGCAAGAGGGCTGGCTGGCTTGGCATCATTACCAATCGCTCCCTCCTTCAAACTTCTTCTATCTAATCTCCGCGAAAGTGTCATCGTCTCGGCAAGTTGCGCGAGAGCCGGAGAGAATATACGCACGCAAAAACTCTCGAGTTTATCACCCAAGCCCCCGAGGTTGCCGATGACTCCAGCCAAGCCTCCCAATTTATTCTGTGCGGCAAGAAAGGCAGCGATGTCCACATTTCCTCCACCGGCTGCCCCTCCAAGAATCGAGGAGTAATCTATTCCGCTTGCCCCTCCTCCTGCTGCTGCAGCATTAAGGGAAGCTGAATAGTCTGGAGTAATTCTGGCATTGTTCAGTAGAGAAGCAAAATCAATAGCCCCTCCTCCTCCTACTCCATTCTTACCTAGCATTGCAGAGAAATCCACACCTTGCTGTGATTTCTTTGCAGAATTTGTTGCATAATAGCCAAGCTACTTCGCTCGTTCTCTATCCGAATTGCATTGAGCATGGCCAATGTTTGCTGTGCGCTGTTATGCTGAGCAGCAGTCATGGCTGCAAGGTAATCGGCAGATGATGGAGGATAACCCGGTGCAGCTCCGGGCATGTAATTGTGCACTCTAGACTGCGGTTCAGAAGATGCAGGCTGCTGCTGCTGTTGTTGTCCCGGGATACCTTGAAATGCAGAATTAGAACCTGGAACTTGGGGATGCTGTTGCGGCGGCAGGTTGAGGGTATCTCTGCTGATAAGTGAAGTTGGTATTCTGAGCCGCAGGAGTGTAGTGTGATTTAGGTGGAGACCTAGAGGAATAATTGAGATCTGCTCGTTGTTGTGCTGGAGGAACAGGTTGAGGAGCAGCAGGAGAGAACTTGGCAGTCGATGCTGGTTGCTGTTCGGGTTCGGCGAAAGTAACCTTCAGAATCGACTTTGGTGCAGCAACTGGAGCAGAAGGTGTGAACTTCAGGCTGGTTCCCTGTTGTGCTGCTGGTGCAGGAGCCAGAGCAGCTGCAGAATTGAATTTCAGACCAGTCTGTTGCTGTTGTGGCTGGGCAGGTGGTGGTGACGGTGGTGAGACTGGTCTCGGTGACGGGGGTGGAGCTCGAGAAGTCTTCAGTCCAGCCGTGTACAAAGGTGGTGGCGGAGCCTTAATCTCAACAGCTGACCTGCTGGTTATTTCGGAGAAGGTGACAGACCAGGAGCAACAGAGCCTATTCCGTTGGCACTTCTAGGCACATACTGTACCCTCGAGAGCCCACTCCTACTCCTCCACTAGATTCAAGGTTGGTCGTCGAATTGGCTCCTGGAGCAGGGACCGGGTCGCTTTTCGCAGTGCTCTCAGCAGCAACTTGAGCAGCGGCAGCAGCAGCAGCGACTGCAACTGCAACTGCTGCAGCAGGAGGACGTGGAGGAGATTCGGTGACAGTGGCTGTCTTAGCAGCAGATGTCTTGTTTGCAGCTTGAGCCGCTGACTTCTGGGCCATGACGGCGAATTTGTTGGGGCCGGGTCCTTTGTCAGCCTGGCGAGGAGGTTCGATCCTCAAGAAGAAACGCTGCTTATCCTCCTGCTCACGGTAGTAGCAAATGAGGCAAAGGGTCTTGTTCGGATCCCTTCGACGTTTGAAAGCCGGGCCTTTGATGGGAGTGGCACCGCAGTGAACGCAGCAGATGATGTTCTGGTGGTACACAGCGCTGGCATCAGGCTTCTCCCTGGAACAGAAGTCCCCGGATCGGATCGAGTCGCTCTGCAGCTTGTCATCGTGGCAGAAAGCGCACAGATCGTAGTCGGGATTCTTGATGGAGGTGAAGGTGGGACCGCAAATCGGAGACACGAGGCACTCATCGCAGCGATTGTCAAAGTGGTAATCTTGGTCGTATTTCTTGCAGACCGAGTTAATGAAGAGCTCTTCGTAGACTTCGTAATCTGACTCCGGCTGCGCTCTCCTGTTGGACGGATTGGTAGCTCTGGAGAAGCAAGCTCCACACAGGTCACAGTCCTCTTGAGTTTTGTGGCGGTAGCGCTTGCCTTTGATGGGAGCTATGCCACAGTCGGCGCACTCGATGAAGCGCACCTGGTAAGGCCCCGTCGACTTGCCCCTCTCGATCTTCATGTACTTGATCTTCGGTTCCGGAATCTCTCGACGGGAACATGCTCAACATACGAGACTTGTGAACAGACGAGACGCAGGAGGGAGGACGCCATTGCACAGAACTGCCTCCTCGATAGAACCCCCGAAAGACTTGACGCTTCTGGTAAAGGACGATCAGACGGACAAGGCGCTCACCTTCGGGTGGAGAGATCTGGGCTACATCAAGTTCATCGTCGACGTCACGAAGGTTTCCGTGAGAAATGGCTTCAGCAAGGCGACGTTCGAGGGAGCCTTGGCCAGCCACATCGCGTGCTACAATCCGCGCGGTGAAGGAATGGTCGGTTTCTTCAGGAACTCGTTTGCTAAATGAAGCTCCGTGTGAAACTTTCAGATACAAATCGAGAAATAATTTTGTCTCCATGCACCAAGTGAAGATGGCAGAGGGGGAAATACTGTAGAGGATATACATTGGATCAGGTGTGATACTTGGAGCATCCAAAGATCCTACTATGAGGACATATCTTTGCAGAGTCTCCTGTAATGTATGTGTCTTTTAAGCAAGTGATCAAAAGTGATCATTTGCACTATGCATCATGTCTGGAAATCTTTCGTGTTTCAGTAGAGGGGCTTTGTGCATATTTAAAACAGTATATACAATATTTACAGAACTTTGTAAGACCCATCTACCGATCCGAGAAGAAACTTTTCTGAAAGCTGTTTATTTTACCAGTTCGAAGACTTGCAGTACGTCGAATTACAGAACTTTACCTCATGCAGGATATTTTGATGTGCCGTTCAGAGACCAGCTCACATTGGCGAAGCTCTCTTCTCTGACGCTGGTCTTTCACGACCCTGAGCTCCTGAACAGATTGGTGTCTGTAACAGAGGCAAGGCTGAAAAGAAACACATGGCTAATGGCTGCCTGCTCTCCTTAATAGATGACGGCGATATTAAAATCATGGACGATGTCAACATCAACGACAGTGAGACAGCAGCACGCCGACGGCAATGACGCGGTCGAGCGGATCGAGAGCCCTTCGACGACCAAGACTGGGCTCAGAGCAGAGAAAGGGCCGTGGAGGTCTAAACTCTCCTCAAATGCATCATCAATCTACAGAACCATTATCCCTGAGTTGACCTGTCGAGGCATGTTGAAGGTGCACAAAAACATCCCGGGTATTCGGTTCACCGTTTAGCTGCATAGTTGGTGCATATTGTTCATGGGGTGAAAGCCAACCCCGACTAACGGCAGTCTTCGGAGAAGGACTGCAAACAGTTGCATCCCAACCCAAAACATGACAAACAGCGCGTGCGAAGCCGCCATGTTTGGGCAGCTTTCTCGTCCTCAATATTTTCTTTGCATGTTGTACCATGCTTGCTACGTCAGGGAATCTCTTCGTCTTCCTGCGCGAGATTAACAAGTATAAGAACAGATCAGACGGGCATCTCCGGCTCCGATATTTGAAAATTCTTTGCAAAAGAATTGAAAGAGATAACTAGACCAGACACTCCCTTCTGGTGTAAGGTGAGGTCTCAAGAGAAGACAGGAATAAAACATCAATGGGATAAAAGAACATATGCTTACACCAGACGCCTAGAACACATAAGACGCAGTAAGAGGCACTTACTTCGCTCCAATTCCGGCACAGACGAGACACTCAAAACTCCCTGAAGTTACATTCGCCTCGTATGCCTTGTTCTCCATTACTTTGCCGCTATGTTGCGCCTCGTACGCAAAACCTTTGTCAGGTGAAACTCCAAATGTCTTGGCGTCCATTGATAGTTCGATCCTGCTTCCCTCCCCTGATTCATCGACATCAAACATCTCCAAATCTTCGCTTCCCACGATCCTCGCATCGTCCCTCTCGAAAGTCCGACAGCTCCGACTGACTCGCAGTAGGAATGGTGCCGACGTTTTCATTCCCACTACTCGATGACCTGTTAGCCTCAGCATCGACATCATGCTTGGCAGCTTTACCATCCATGTGTTCCTCCGTGTCAGATGCGAGAGATTCCCAGTCCGCATAATAATCAGCCGCCGCAGACCGATCGCGTGAAGGCTTCTCTGGTTCGTTGGCAGCTGAGCCATGTCTAATTATTATCACGCGCATGATGCGCCAGGAATTTTTCGGGCATGAGTCCTTCCTTGCCTTCTTATAGGCAGAGGTCGTCGTTCTCCAGAATTATACTTCTCTCGTCAGCTGCTCGGACCGCTCAGAGAAGTCCGAGAACTGGATGAGAATGGCCTGCTGAACACCAAAACCCCCACGATCGGTCCCACATCTGTCTGACCTTTTCGTGATTCCAGATCAGAGTGAAAACCCCCGAGGTCAGTTTTGTTCGGGTCAAGTTCATTCCTTCGACTGCTGGACATTCCTTGTTCGCGCTTTGAGAAATATCCTTCTTCACTGCTCGAGAGTTTAACTCTTGCGGACTCTGGCTCTCGATCTCAGCAGCTCCTGTCCGCTCCAACTCCGATCCGCGATCACACATCCCTCCCTCGTCCGCATTAAGCTACTCGACTGACATGTGTATGATTCCTCACTCCCCTCCCCTCGCTCGTGCATTACGATGATTATTCGAAACTCAGACAAACGCTTACGGAAGGGAGAAACAATTATTACATCCGTCCATGTTCCTTTTCTCAACCATCGTGATCCGAGGGGGTTCGGGTGGGAAGTACGGGGACCTCTGGCGGCTGCGGGTGAGCTGTGGTGGCCATCGAGAGAACATCTCGTAGAGGTGCTCCCACGCGTCCTCATGAAAGACTCTTGTGCGTCCTCATGAAGGTGAGGTGCATGTCGTCACGATGAAGTGGTCTCAAAGTCGACCGGCTGCTATATGAAACTGTATGCAGTAAAGGTGGTCGTAAGGAGCAGATGTACAAATCAAATTGCAGGTTCTTGGAGTTGTGCTGGCCGAGCCCTGCTGTGATTCTTTCCTCTTAAATTGGTGTAAGTACGACGGATCCAGGTCTATTGCAGGCCTGGGTTGTGGGTCAGGTGTTGTAACGTCGGCCATAGTATTCGAGCGTGCAATCCGAGACACTGAATCTCTTTCATCTCGCAGTTCATCAACAAGCTGAAACTGCAAGGAAGACGTAGAAAGGTGCGACATTGGAGAATCTATCGATTTATCACACGGTTCGTATCACACGAAAGTTCTGGCAATGCTCGGTAGAGGATTGGCGTTATCTCGGGCCAATTGTGCATCTCCCACTGACGCTGGGAGCTCTGCCCGGGCTTTATTCTCCTCTGACAACCACTTGGCAAAGCTGGCAAAAGCAGACTGGAGGGTCAGAAGCAAATAAACATCACGACAATCCTATGGCTGACGTTGACGTCAGCCAGCGGATTCGAGAGTGCAATTACGAGTGAAAATGAGACATCCTTTTGTTCAGGAATGCTCACGTCGTTAGAGCATCTACATTGCTTCCCAAGTATGTCTTGTCCACCAATTCTCCGTTGACGACGTCTTACTTAGCTTTTTCGTCGAGCAATTTGTTCGACAGGGCGACTAGATTCTGCATATTCTTCTTCGACGATCCATCGACAGACGCCATGCCCCCGACGATGCCGGATGTCTGCGGAACAAGAACATGCAAACAGAAATTGTCCAGGTTCATGGAGACCGGAGTGTGGAATACATGCGATATGCCATGCCCCCAGAGAATAGACAGCTGGAGCTTACAAGTCACATCGAGAACATGGTTATAGTAGAGAATCTCTCGTTGGCAACGCCATGTCCATTAATTATAAGAGAGAGAGAGAGAGTTGCTCCCCTGACTGAGTTCTGAACAATGCAGGGAAAGCGGAAGGGTAAGGTCTCACCTGCAGACTCAAATAATTCTTTTCGACCTCATCGATCTGGAACCGGATGGCGATGTCCAAGTCAACCAGATAAGCACTGCTGTTCTGGAGCATCTGGATAATGGGCTGCTGTCCATCGTTCAAGATCCAAGACAGCGACCCCCATGAGGCTACGTCCTTGGCGTCGTAGCTGACAATACTGGAGCCCGTGCCGAGGGACAGGACCAGCAGATCCCTGTAGCCCTGACACCAGAAACAGGAATATCCCAATAGCTGCTCGTCACCAGGGTGCGCAAGAGACATTGTCGGACCATGTGCGAAAGGACTACTACTTCACTGCACAGAGACTCATTTTGACCTCAAACAAACAAACAGCAGATCTACGTCATGGACAAAACGTGCTCGTGTTGATTGAGATACCCGGATGCCTGTTCCGATGAGCATCGTGGTTGGATTCAGATGCCCGAAAGCGAGGCAAGAGGAGGGAACGGCCCTCTTTGTTGCGATTCGCTCACCTTGAACTGGGGAATTCGGCTTCTGTGTGGCGAATCGACGATGCAGAGATCCTTCACAGCGTGAAGTATGGCGACCTCCACCTGGGCACGGGAGTTAAGAAAAAGGGTGATGGAACCTGATGCGAGTGTTGTTATAATCATCATCATAAGCAGCAGCAACAGAAACAAATAGAACCTGCTTCAGGTGCAACTACTCTCCCCCATGGGATTGTACACTCAACAACCCTCTCCTCTCCGACTGTGGAAGATATCCTGAAAACTATGGTGTGAGGTCTTGCGTTGAACCTGGGGACTCTCTGTGCCTGATGCAATTAATAACCACAAAGTCCCACCCCCTAAATACTCGCTCGCTTATGCTGCAGCTGACGACCGACCGGCCTTTCATGGGAGAACGAGAACAAAATCAATTTCATGTGTGTGTGTGTGAGAGAGAGATGACTGACTGACCACTTGCTTGTCGAAGAACACTGGTTGCTGAGTTTTGGTGTTGAACGTGGTGATCAACAAGTCCGTGACAGATTCAGTTACTTTCAAGTCTTTCAAAGTGTCGGCCAAAATTTTCTTCAATGGGCTGGCGCTGTATTTTGATCCGAGCAGGCTGGTCACGCTCGAGATAATTCCTCTGCATCCCAAGGGAAAACCTCAATATTCAACGAGCATTCTCATCGACAGCTAGCTTTGTGAGATCATCTAGACGGCGGCAAGAGGGATAATTCAATCGAGAGAAGACCAGAGAGGTCCTCGAGTGTCAGATTCTATCACGGTGTGGAAAATATCGTGGCCGCTTTGTCGAGATAGAATTGCTTAGCTTGAGTTGCTGTCAGCAACGGAGGCTTGTTCGCATGGAGATTGTTCACACTGCCTTGGAATTTTTCACCTCATCGAAAATCAAGCCATATCCACTCAACATGTACAAAATTGTTCTAAGAGACATTGTGAGGGAAACACTTCGTTCATTGAAACTAATCACGTGATTGCAGGGACCTGAAGACGTCGGTAACTTCAATCAAGAGTTTGCCTCAAAACAGAACTAATCAGAGAATCGACGATTGTGACGGGATATCAGAAGCCATAGAGAGTCAGTGACAGCAGGTTTGCAGGATTCTATTATTCTTCTGCGAATCTCGGCACCCATCCTATTGCAAATACCGAATCTGCTCCTGCTGCGGATGATTTGGCAGCTTGAATCGCATCCGAGAAAGACCAGAACCCACATTGTCCAACCAGTAGATATGTCATTGAGAGCATTATTATCGTTCGCCTGCAAAAA